TGAAACTGTCAGGTATGGGCCAGTCGTGGCCCAAGAGAATCCCATCTGAAAGCCAGCAGGATATTAGCTAAGAGTTCTCACGATACCCCATGGCATTTAACAGTACCAGTTAATTCTGTTTAGGCACATGAATGAAGTTTTTAGTGCCTGCTCTCCCACCCTTCCCCATTCCAGAAGGACTAATTAATACTTTATAGACACAGAAGAAAAAACAAACTGTCTTGCTTGGTGTTGTTCAGTAATTTCAGTTCAGAGCTGGACAGGTGGCAGGAAGCCTCACCTTGCTAGAGAGAAAGCATGAGGGTAGAATTATGAAACTTTTAGCATAACTTTAGCAAAGAATGCAGGCAACAACATGGAGGTCCACCCTACAAAGAGCAGCAGAGACAGGAGGAAGGACAAACGAAGGGGAAGAAAGCAGGAGCACAAGAAGTGCTGATGGAGATGATGGAAGATCAAGCAGGGCAGAAGGCAATGTTACAATGAATAGGTTAGGAGCATGCCCAAGAGTCAAGCTAATAGTAAAGCACTTAAATCAAAAGGAACAGTTAATCACTAGGGCTCACAGCAAGTCAGCTGGCTAACACAACAACAGCATCTCAACACTTTTTCTCTGGGCCAGCCATGACTCACACTGCATGAGGCTGCAGCAGTTCTCTCTCACCAGAATGTTCATTGTCAAGTATCAGGGAATGGAACACAGGTACATGAGTTTCTTTTAAAAATCAGAATGGGAACATTCCCCTGCTGAACTTCTTCATTCTAATACCTGAGTTATTTTCTACCTCATACGAGAGAGTTTAAATTCTTCAGTGACATACTTTAAAAACTGAATCCTCCAAAAACACTGCATGAGCAAATGTTAATGGTCAAGTCTTGTCTTCCATTGTGCAGCATGTTCACTAAATCCCTTGGAAAATAATTTTCTGAGATCTTGCAATCACAATTTCACAGTATAATGAAAACTGCAGCATAATGAAAACAAAACCATAAAATTTTTGTATGAAGCAGGTTATTAGTACCACAACCATAAAGGAAAAAAATCCCACCAAACAATAACCACATAAAATATATCAGATGGAACTCCAAAGTTCGCCATACAACAAATGTACAGACAAGAACTTTCAGAAGTCAGAAAATATGTTTCGCTTAGGGGTGTTGTTGGAGAAGAGGCTGGACATGAGCCAATCTGGGCTGTATCAAAAGCAGTGTGACCAGCAGGGTGAGGGAGGGGATTCTCAAGTGACCCCACATGAAGTGGAGTCTTGGTTGGAGAAGCCAGTCAGCCCCTCCACCTCAAACCATATACACCTAAAGAATCACAGCTGTCCACATGGCAAGAGGGCTTGATTACATTTTCATTCCCCATAGTGTCTCTGTCCTTTGAAGCCTCTCTTTTAAGGTGGTTTTTCTGTTTGGTTTTGGGGTTTTTTTGGGTTGGCTTTTTTTTTTTTTTTTGGTTGTTTTTTTTGTTTTTGTTTTTGGGGGGTTTTTTTTTTTTTTTTTTGGGTTTTTTTTGTTTTTTTTTTTTTTTGTTTTTTGGTTTTTTTTGGTTTTTTTTTTTTTGGTTTTTTTTGGTTTTTTTTTTTTTGGTTTTTTTTGGTTTTTTTTTTTTTGGTTTTTTTTGGTTTTTTTTTTTTTGGTTTTTTTTTTTTTTTCTTTTTAAATTTCTAAGCTCTATGCACACCAAAACAGCAACTGGTCAGGACTTCAGGGGGAAAAATTCAAGACCTTTCCAGTCTCAAAGACCCTCATAAGAAAAAGCTCTGTGCATACAAAGCAGTTTTTTGTGCACTGCAAACAGGATTCAAAAAACAACCATGCAATATAAATACAGAAATATTTTGTATTCGCTAGCCATAAGAATGTAATTAAAAACCCTTCTTTAGATTGAATAAAATTCCATAGTTTTTACCTACGCACCACTTTAACCAATGTTTACAATGATAGTATTATAGTCTTGGAAAAATCTAGGTTTTGTTTAAAAGACATGATTTATTTTTCATAAATAAAATTCATATAAAAAAAATTGGTTTGAAACCTTACACAAGCACCTTCCATTTCAGAGTATGAAGTGGAGAGTAGGAAAAAAAAGCACATGCTAAGTAGAACTTTTAACTGTAGAAATTGTTAATTCCAGTTAGAGAAATTCCCAATTCACATTCATTACCAGAATTCACATCAACTGGAAAACAAATCTACTTCTCCAGTGCATTCAGAAGGCAGTACATACCATATAAGAAGTAAAAAACCTTAGCCACAGCCATCTGATTGCATGTAAGCACACCAAGAAAGCTGGTCACCACCAGTCAGGTAGTCAAGAGCAACAGGAGGAATTGGTTCCTGTAGAGAACACTGGCTGATGTATTATAAACTCAAGTAAGGAGCACTAGTTTCAAATGCCTTGGAAATGGATCTCAATAATTCAGAAGTGAACAAATGAACACAGAACCTTCTGATATAGCAACACATCTAAAGAGCCTAAATGTCCTCAGATACTCCTACTATATAGAGAGCTCAAATGGACCACCACATAGATGAAAAAGTGCTTTGCCAAAGGTGGCAGGTCCCTAGGCCAGGGAGAATCACCTGTAGTTCCAACTCTAACACACACAGACAGCCCCACAGACACCACTGACACTAAAAATGCCTCACTCAATAGCCAGTACGGCACCTCCAGGGTCAACTGGTCAGCGTTTCAACAGAATCATTTTGTAAACATGAACTGTGCTTTCAACGAAAATAATTACATTTGGTTAAGTTTCTTCTTGTTAGAACTAAAAAGTACGTGAAACATTTTTTTTTCTTAAATCTGTTTGAAACAGAACATTTTATATAAAACTGTTGACATTAAAAAGCTTTCCAAAGTACGTTCTTCATTTTTCACTCCCACTTTCACATTTAGAAGTGAAATTAAAGACTTCTGAAATGCCCCGCTGAAGAAAACATGCTCATTTTTCTTAAAACCGTAATAAAGTACTCAATCCTTTGCGGTACTGACAGCAGTAAATCAGATGAGTCCTAAGCTTTTGGAGAGCCCAGGTGCATTTTTAGTATCAACACATCTACCTGATGCACATGCTTTCTCCAGTGCTGTTGTTAATGCTGTTTTGTCTTTTCAGTTGGGAAATTCTTCAAAACTACAGAAAAATCCCTGTCATAGACAGATTACATTATTACCATTTTCAGTTCTTCTATTCACCCATCAGACTACTGTCCCTAACCTTCTAACCACTGAATTTTTTTTCAAGTTTACAGCAAATATAAAAATTCAGCATTCTTTCAGGTTAAAGACACCAGCACATGACTAAATATAGCAATCAGTGTTTGCTTGAACTGGAACAAATATACCTGTATTAATATGTAAATAAAATTCTTAAAAATATTTATATCACTGAGTTTCAAAATTTTTCTTCCTATATCTATATTAAATAAATTCAACCTTACTGTATTATAAAAAATTATTCTCTATAGTAATTATTTTCTTGTTCCACTACTGAATGGCTAGTCTTTACGTAGTATTTCCTATTAACAATTTTACTGCAAATATTTGATGAAAAAAAACAACTTTACTTATGACTGTTCTTCCCATTCTGTTCCAAAAAGATCCAAACTGAAATATTTCACTTATATATCACTTACAATGAGATATTTTTAAAATATATGCCACAGCACAATGAAAATGGATATAGCATGTTGGTTTTAAAGACCATATGTTATAGTTCTGAAAGATACTCTGAAGCAGATAGAGTTAACTAGCACTGCTGCCAGCTGGCATTCTCAATAAACTACCTGAAGTAATGATGTTTGGATGTTTAGATGATCTTTAAGATCCTTTTCAAGTGAAACTATTCTATGTTCATCTTTTCTATTCAACAAGTTCTTGATTATATTTTCTCCCTCTAAGAGGCCCCTGTAAGCCTAGAACTTCCTTTACAAAGCATTATTAACATGTTTGAAGACATAAATGAAAGTATACATAGAAAGTTTGTGTGTACTTAAATAGGCCATATGCTTGTTTAACCCATCTGCGTATTTCTCCAGGAGAACACTGCCTGCAACCTGTTATTAAAAGACACATATTTATTTATCCTTATAAAAATATTCATGCAATACCCTCATCTAGAAACATCAACTACATTATCTATCTCCTACACCATTAGCTCTAAGTCCAATAAACCTACTCAGCAGGCAAGGGATTTAATGAAATAAACCCTGACTTCCTGGGAGGATCACCAGTGGTTCCAACTCCAGTACTTCTGATCAAATACATGCTCTCTTCCTGCTGCTGAGCAATAGGCTTTTCTGAATCTCTATCAAACATGCTCCAAAGGAGGGAGGGCGTAATAATACTGTGGAAAGTATTTAAATGAGTAGGAGACTGACTGTGGTGAAAGGAAGGACAAGAAACTGTTTTTTAAAAATAATAGTAATTTATGGGGTTTACATTTAAAAGGTCACAAAATCATAGCAATTTTTTCAATAAACAAGACAATAAGCTTGTCTACTAATCATCATTAATAAGCCATATGAGCCATAAAATCAAAAAAGAAAAAAAACAAGCCCACAGTCTTGCACTGCTACAGGTTGCCAGTTTCCACAAATATTTTCACTTCTGCTCCTTATTTAAGGCTGAGGCACCAAGGTACAATTATTACAGAACAAACATCTTCCAATGGCTATCTTAAAGGAGTAAGAACCAAAACTGACAATGTTGAAAAAACAAAGAAAAACCCAGCCCACTTATCAGTGAAAGGTCTCAGGTTCTCAACCCATTGTCTAACAAATGTAAATACTGACTGCTTCCTGCTCCTTTCATTTCCAGGTTGGAGAAAGCATGGTTTGGCTTCCCTTCCTCCACAAGGAAAAATTTCTTACTTAATGATCCTCCTAAATTAATCCAAACATTCAACTTGAAATCCAACACATTACAATCCTTTAGAGTAGCTGACTTAATCCCTCATTTCTGGGTTAACTTCACATTCTTTGGGAAATCTTACCCAATTTTGGCAGGGAATATGGCACTTTAAAATAATCTTCATAAAACTCAATGAGTCTCCTTGTAATATTTAGAGCATAGTCCCCTGATCCTCTTCGGATTGCATCAGGCCTTGCATATAACCGTACCTGTTAAAAAAAACAAAGCAAAAGTCCAATTTCAGCATCTGCCTTTTAAATCTATCCTACCAGAAGAGGTGAATGAATTATTCTAAGGTTGCTATGAGGTGGCAGGATTATTCCCTTAAAGCCAAATATGATTGTCATACATTTGTCAAGTCATATCATAGCTGAAAACCAGAACTACCACAATTAAAGTTACGACGTTCAGAAGTCACAATCTCCTACTTATTTGTGTTGCCAAATAAAAAAAACTTGCACTCCTTGTATCAAAATAAGTATTCGAAGGAAATACATGTGTTTGTTAGAGATATGATGGAAGAGTGGATTAGTATAATGGTTCTCTGCCTACACTGAATGTAGGCAGGATGCAGTGACTCAGTAGGAGAGAAGTTCATGGTTTGTTAAAGGCACATTATATCAAGCCCTGAAAATATTAGTAGACTGTGAAGAAAAAAAAAAAAAATCGTTTTCTTTTCTCTTCTCCGGCAGTGACACCATTACCCTCAATGAGCTACAGGAAGACTGCAAAAACGACCATTTCTAAGCTCATTCATAGACACAAACAATTAGCATTCCTGAAACCTCCACGACTGCTTCAGGCCTCTGTTTCCAGAAAGCAGTAAATTAAAGCTGTTTGTATAAGCCACAGACTGCTCTGTTCAGTATAACATAGCTCACACATTTCAATACCTGGAGTGAACCAAGTAAACATAACTCACATTCATAATTCAGCATTCAAGTGTGATTAGGGAGATAACACAAAGTACTGCCAGGTACTTTCTTACTCTTCCCTGTCCTTACAGTCTGCAGCAACTCCTTCATGAAGAGCCTACAACTGCTAACCAAGAAGGGGATAGAAAGGAGAACCACTTTTCATTGTCTCTCATACCCTGCCTGATGGAAGTAGCCTGTGCATTGTCTCTAGTGACTGTGGCAGAAGGTCTCTCCCCACAGTTCATAATGACCTGATGTGTAAATGAGACTCTACTAAATGTCAATCCTAATAATAATATCTGACTTGCCAGTACTTTCTGTGGTAGGATTAAATCCCAGCCAGGGTTCCAAGGAAAGCAGTAGCACAGAAATCAGAAAGTATCAATGCAAAGGTGAAGGAGAAATATCAGCTTTGGAATGTTCCTAAATGCTCTATTCTGGATTAAGAAAAGCCAATGGGATTTTTGGCTTCAGTGAAAGTATTACCAAGTATTGCTTTACTGCTCTTTTCCTGAAACAGTTCAGCTATCCAAGTGGAAACCAGATATCAAACCTATGTACGGTGTACCTGTATTCTCTTTTAACCCACCGTCTCTTGAGTTTCAGTAGGGAGACACATTATTTGCTTCATTACAATGTCCATGTACACATTTAATCTTTGTGTTGTATTAGACTCAGTGCACAATCAACCATACATAGTTATCATTCATAATGTAAAACAGGTAATGGTGTAACCTGATGAGATATGTAATAAAGCAGACTTCTTATAATCACTACCTGAAAGCACATAGATCATCATCTGAACGCCTCCAAATCACTATTTTTATTTATTGCTTCCTTTCAAAGTTAACAGTAATGTGTACATTAAAATGTTCCCTTATCTGCTGAACTAAATACAGGTTTTAACAAAATACGTATTAACCACAGAGTTTATGGAAGGATATTAGGAATCACAATTAGATTTGTGATGAACACTGTTTTGTATCATTAAACCTTTATACACAATTTTGCATAATTGCTTTACTGGCACAGTTGACTGTATCAGCAAATTAGGGAAAAAAAGAGTCAACCAAGTATGGCAAAAATCATTCAATTTGACAGTGGCCAAATCTATCCATAATAAGAAAGAGGACAACAGAAGGGAAGAAAATATTAAGCAAATATAAGAAAAATCAAGGTTCAGCTTATTGCATTACAATGAATGTCTCCTGGCAAATATAGAAAAGGCATTTAATGATGTCTGAGATGGAGCCAAGGTACAAAAGCTGCAATGCTGCAAACTCTTATTTGTCTCCTGCCTAATGCTGAATGTAGTTTTATTTCACCCATAAAGTCTCCCTGTGTGCCCCTCCGCCTGCCCAGAACACCTCTGGACTGCCAAACCTCCACGGCTCACACCAAGGTCACCCGTAAGCTGGAACACAGTTCAGAAACTACCCACACCTTTGCCCAGGTCTCTCAGGGGCTTTGAGGCAATAGATATTGTCAAAGCAGCCAACCATCTCCAAACACTGGGTCTTGCTTCTGCCTTTCACCCAGCAACCACTGAGCACAAAATGTATGGAGAACCTTGGACACACCACCACAGACCTACCCTGGCCTCAGAAATTCCCTCTTGGTTAGCAGAGGGCTACTGCGGGGGACAGTCTGTGACACTCTGCCTACCTGGCTAGCTGCTTTGGATGACACATTCTGGTCACATTGTGTGCCATTCACAACGTGAGGAGCTTGGTCTAGAGTTCAGTCTAAATGTTGGCACCTGTAAGTTTGAAACTGAAGCCCCTAACTTTCACATACTGATGTTTTTTTAATGTGTTTGGGCTTATTTTGACCATATCTTACTTCCAAATCCATCAAACGGGGACTATAGTATTTCCTTAGTTTATAAGAAGATTCTCAGTCAAAAGTAATGAAGTTTTTATATTCTGCTCCAAAGAGGAACTTAAGTAAAACAGAATGATGATTAAGACATGAGATTTGTTTAGAATAATTTGTTTGTTTACTACTTTCATTTCAAAAGGTAGTGTTACTTTAAAACTGCATTGGATTGAAAAATAATGCCCAATTATTATATACTTTCCCACAGGTTGTTTGACCACCGTACTAAGAATTTGTTTTTACAGTAATTTAAATAAGAGAAAAAACAAAGTTTTCTGCAGGGTTGGCCTAAATATGTAACTAAAAGCAGTACATGCTCTCCTACAAAAGACAAACAGATTTCCAGTGTAAGTGCATAATTCATGACTCACTCCAATGGCACCTACTACCCCGCAAATGTTATTAATGCTCTTCTTCATAATCTTTGCAAGATTAGGTTAGACTATTATTTTCATGTAAGAAAGTGGAGACCAAAGAGAGAACAAGAGTAATTCTGGGTGCCTATCTTGACACCTCTCACTGTCAAGTCTGTTTAACAGTTTGACTGCACATACTTAAAGCACTGTTCCCATTATACCTTACTGCAGTGGTGAACACTTTATAGAAGTTTTGGCCACAGATGCCTTAGTTTGGGCATTCACAAAATCAGTAGTACATGAATAATGACTAAATGAGATTCTGTCAGTTTATGTGATTTACTTGGCATCCCACAGCAACTCTGTGGCAGAGGCAGGGAGGGAATTCAAAGCAGGCATTCATCCTTGTGACCATTAACAACCTGCACCAAGCACCTTCCACATCTGGGAATTAATGAGGTAGGTTCTGTTTGGACAACAGGTATATGAACAGCACATGGCTGGTGTTCTGATGCAGTATAGCTCTGATGCAGTATAGTTCAATGAAAAATATCAGAAAAATGTTATGAGGAATCATATTCGTAATGACAATTTGTATACCTACAAATATAACAAAGTTCACACAGTTAACCTAAATTCTGAGGGTTTTTCTTAGCTCCCTTACATCTACATTTGCAACCACTACCAATTTTTCAACAGGAGTTTTGACTACGAAAAAGAAAAATCCAGCCCTCTCATTTCTCCCTCAAATGGAACCAAACTGACTGTCTCCTTTCTATCACAAGTTTGAGCAACTAGGTTTGTGCCTGCATCCCTACAACCCAGATCCCCTCTTTATAAGATACTTGTTAACAACTCTGAAAGTTATTAGACATTCTAAATTAAATCTCTGCAACATATATTTTCTCATTCTTTTCTAAAGTGGGTAAAAATGGAGTTGTTTGCCCTTGTTTGCTTTCCAGAGGCCCAGAATAGCTTCATAAGAACTTTAAACAAACTCAATACTCAGCCACACTCGGATAATATTTCCCAAAAAAAAATCATCATGAAGTATTATTTCAAAAATATTAGTGATCTCACTCAGGTTCTTAGAATTATTTTGGCAACATTATCAGAAAAAATACTAAAATATTCCTGAAACTAGTATGGTAAGTTCCATGTATTTGTTGTAAGTGATCAACAGCCTCGTCCTCTATAGTTAGTCAAAAGTATTTGCTATAAAACAGCATACTTTTACAAACAATTTGTAAATATTCCAACATTTTCTCTAGTCTGTCTTAGTATTTCAGCATCTGCTACACAAAATAAGTCAAAGAAATTTAAAAATATTTGTAATACCAGGCTGCCAGAGCAGATAAATGTGGTTGTAAAATAAGAACTGTTTCCCACGGAGAGTCATGATATATGCTAAGAAATGGGCAACATACTTAAAACAAATCTCATCTAACTGAAGTCACGTTATTAACTACAGAGCATGAGAAAATCTTCCAATCTACAGCAGTTAAAAATTATCCATCAAAAAGAAAGCTAGCACTTGAAAAAAAAAGAGAGCTTTTCTTGTCTTATTACTTCAGTGCACTTCCAAAAAATGTGAACTAGTAACTATCTACAACAGAAACCGGGTAAAATTCTGACAAGTACAACTCTAGACAGCAACACACAACTTAATTTCCAGAGAATAGCATGTTCACCAAAATTGTTTCCATTGTACCAAAGACTAGTGATAATTGTATCATGCAAAAAAAACAGAGGAACAAAATAAAAAGAAGTAGAACTGTTCTATTTTGAAATTTTAAAATCACTACTTTTCTCTTTTTCTTTTTTGCATTACAAGTTAAGTGAAAAGAGAGGAGAATTAAACGGATGACGAATGGTAAAGAAAAACTTGCAGTAATCTCTTCACACTATGTGAAATACTTTGGGTCAAACCAAAGGGTTTGTACAGTTCTGTAGGTAGGAAGACTATGTAACAAATTCAGCATTTTGATCACAGCAATGAAAAGGAAAAATCCATTATTTACATGTGTCTAACTGCAAAAAGACTGTGTTCCAACTTTC